TCAAAGTTGGGGTGCTCTGCGGCAAACTGGGGTCTGGAGGAGGCCACACACACAATGTGTCACGAACACAGCCTGCAAAGTGCTCCTCGCGCGAGGTGCGGGTGTTCGTACAGGTTCGTAGGATCGCCACTGCAATAGACCACAAACTTCTTGTCTGAGTGGTCGCGGGCCAGGTCCTGAAACTCACTCAATCCCTTTGTTTTCATGTGTCAGTCTGTAAGACCACACCCACGACGCAGATGTCTGAAAAAGAAGACGGGCAGGCGTATACCTTGTCTCGAAACCACCCACATCCACCGACCCACAGGAAGTAGTCGCCTTCGGTCGGTGAAAATTGATACTCCTCGTCTGCGAAACCTTCCCACACCACAAACCCCCGGCTATCCCCACCAGGTCACACCCTCATGATCATCCCACTCTTCATCGAAAGCTGTCGTTTAAGAAATGGTGGCGTACTCTGCCATCCACGCGTTTCGTGCGGTGGTCGTCCGCAGCGAGTTCGCCGAGGGCATCCGCCAACGCACACGGGCGCCAAGGTCTTGGCATTCTCCACAATCACCGCTGCACGACAGGTAAAGTTGTATCAGGCTTGGCTCCACTCCCAACAAATCTCACGGTCGTGCCATTTCATGTGTCACGTGCCGCGTGTGCGGTGTGCCGTGTGCGGGTGTCATGTGCGGGTGTCGTGTGCGTGTGCCAGTTCATAGACGCTGGTGATAGCAAGGAAGAGGAAGTTGTACTAGTGCAGCGTGACGATGACTGGAATCTCGATCCCGAGCTGTTGTAGGGTAGGAGGGCACCAAGGCGACTGACACCAGATAATGTGCGGCCACTGGGCCTTGTCCCGTTGGTGCAGCTGCTCGACGTATCCCTGGTGGCGCAACCGTCTAAATGTCATGAAAAGGAGTGAAGGCAGCTTTGAGCGCTGTACCGCAATGAAACTTTCCCCCGAGTCCCCAACGTTGCCTGACTCCATGATGGGAAAGGAGTAGTTGCGCCCGTGTGTGTCCCTGCCGGGAACGACCGCCACAAACTCGACGCACCCTGCTCCGCACCACTGAGATGAGTGTGACCTCGCCCATCGCATTGTAGGCGCCGCGTACCCAGATCGTAGAGCTTGCTAAGCCCCTCGATCTCCGCCTCGCAGCTGGCCTCGCCTCCGCCGTACCCAATTAGGGGCAGCAGCGCAATGTGTGGCGTGCATAAGTAGTCGATGATGAGCTTGTTGGTGCGTGAGAAATCAGGAGAGCTGACCGTCACTTCCTGCACTGGTATACCAGACCACTCAGCACCACCCTGGATTGCGAGGTGGCAGGCTCCCCATGTCT